CTTTGCGAATAAGCGGGGACTCGAAAGGTCGACATGATCAGTAGCCAGTTCGCCGAGACTGAAGAGTCCGAGGTCAATGTTGTCACCCGTTCTCCTGGATATCCACTTCATGATGGACATCTGTGACGAGGATGCGGACGACGATGGCGGCTGAGGCCCACTTGCAGCAGTCTGTAGAGGTAATCGCAAAAGCAATAAACGCACCCAGAACCATCGCCGCGGCAGCATAAAGCAACTCTCTCACTGCCAAGAAGGTTTTCAAGGTATGCGCGAAACATGGATTAGCATTGCCTGAGCGCATGGTCACCATGGTCCTTCCGATGGGCACCGAGGGGGCACTTTCGACGCTGAGCATGTGAGCCGTTACCCTCGTACCTCGGGCGCTTGCCCTTGGCAAGAAGCCCCATGCCCATCGGCAAGCGTTCCGGACCATGACACCAGTACTTTATCCTTATATTACTCTTGTCAATATTAACATTTAGCATTTGTATTACAAAAACACGGAAAGAAACACTGATCCCAGCCAGGACCGCATACTCATGCAGGAGGCGCGCAGACTTAAAGCACTTTGTGGGATGAGGTTGGCAGGGAGGGCGGATCGTGGTTGTCCCAGCAGTATGGTTGCCTGCTGCCCTGCACGAGTTTGGTGGTGTAGCAGTACTGCAATCCTGCGGTGGCGGGTAGGGAGAATTCAGCCAGTGTCAGAATCTTGACTTGATTTCGGAGCGTTGAGTTTGCCCGTTGGTTTTCCGTGTTTCTGTCGGGTTCGGCGGAGGGCAGAGACCTCCCAAGGCCAGTCTGTTGTTTGCAATAGTGCTTCGCAGTCGGCTTGCTCGTGTGAGTCGCCCGACCAGCCAAGCTGCAAGCACTGAATGCTGGCGACGTAGCGCGCAAACGGGCCCTTGCAGATGGTAGTGCTAAATGCCGAGTGCCGAGCAAACATCGCCAGTCCCTGGAGGATCAGCTTTGCTGCCACTCGGCTGATCCACGGCGAAGGGGTATCGCAGAGAAGCTAGCGCACAGCAGGCCAGGTAGGCTCTGGCCTCGCAGCTCGTGCGCCTGTGATAGATGCAGATGCCGGCATCACTGACCCTGGCACGTTCGCGTGCTGTGACTCAGGCTTTGAGGAGGCCGACGTCCAGATCCTGCGGCTCGGCGAGGATCAGGAGACGTTGATGAACCAACGAAGCTGCTGGACAAGCTCCTTCGTGTAGTGTGCGGCAGTGAACGCTCTTGACAGGAGCCTGTTGTGGTGATCTCGAACTTCCTCTGTGCCGTTGCATGCACGAGTCAGAGTTCCGAGCCTACATGTCGGACCTGGGTCGGCGTTGCAGGGTCGGATGGAGCTTCAGGTGCCGATGTCCTGGCAGAGCTGCGCGCCACTCTGGCTGCGACATCGCGCTTCGAAGAGGCATTGCGGGGGCTGACGGCGAATGTTATGAGACTGCAAGATGCAGGTGCTTGTCGCCAGGGAGTGATGCGCATAGCCCTGTCAGGGGATTCACTGGGAAGATCTTAGCGTTGCATTTCCGGGACCTCAGTTCTGGATGTGGAGGCCTCAGCTCAGTCTCGAGTCTCTTTGAAACCTGACCCGGTCCTTCTCCGGGACCCTGCATGATCAGGATACGACGTGAGCCAATCTAGCTATGAATTCAGGTTAAGACTACGTCAGCATGTCAGTTGCGATTCGCGGAGGGCTGGTTCATCCGAGGCGGCGCCACTTCCGTCTGCCCGACTCCTGGCTGCGATTTCTTCGACAGCATCCGCTCTCTCTCGCCATGGCGCCTATCCTTTTCGAAGCTTCGCAGCAAGCAGCGTGTCGAGCTGCGTGGATTTTACCTGCTTCGCGTGTAAACCCGCTGCAGCAACCTTTTCCAGCTGTGCACGCTGTCAGGACATGTCCATTCTTGACATTTGTTCCTGGGCCTGAAATACGGTACGTTTTCGTGCTACGAGTTCAGGGCAGCCATGAAAAAAGCGCTGCGTCAGTCGGATGTTACGAACATTGGCATTGTCACCCTTCCGATGCAATGTCGTCCAGTGGCCAGAGACGGTGCTGCCGCTAAGAACCATAGAAGCACCCAGATGCACCCAGGCTTCTCGCGGCTGGCCTCTGCCGAAAAGCCACTTTGGGGGTCGATGACGCCTTTGCTGAACGTTTCCTGTGGGCCGCGCATCTTCCACCCAACATGCGTGGATGTCAACATGACCCTGGGCTCGAAACGACGGGTTGGCAGATGTTGGCAAGCAGTTCTCTGAAGATTCAGCAGCAACTGAGGATCCGTTTCAGCACATATGCCCGCGAGATGGAAAACACCATTGTCCACATTGACACTTTCGGTGGCGAAGGCACGCAGAGGGGGCACTGCTTTGTTGGCAGTGGTACGCGTACGCTGCGTATACAGTACCTGTCAGCATCCAGGGTCGAAGAGACATGACATGCCGGTGACAGGTACCTGGACGAACTTCGTTTTCAACTTGCAACTCGCTTGTAGGATGTCCGCCAGTATGCCCCCTGCTCATCCAGCTGCAGCTGTTGGGGAGCTAAGGCACCTGTCTGACAACTTCGATGACACAGGCTGGCCCGGTGCTGAAGAACACGCAAGTTTGGGCTACTTGTAGGTCTTCATCATCCAGCTGCTTGGGAGGCACTGCCTTCTGGAAAGAGGTTGGGGCAAGGACGTCTGCGCGACCACGAAGTGGGGAGGCGAAGGGAGAGACGCTCGGCCGCTTGTGCATGTCTTGAAGATCGGTCCGGGTCAGTCTTCCCAGCACTCCATGTTCTGCCCGGCCCGAGCGTCGAGAAGCTGACTGAGGAAGGCGTTCCGCAAGCAAGTCCAACGCATGCAGGCCGGATGCGCCCCAGATCTTGCTAGCCCGCGCCTTCTTGAGATGCACGTCTTCTTAGGACGTTGCTTTCAATACAGCGTCGCGACGCAGGACATGTTGTCTTATGGGCGAGACCACATGATGGCCTGGCGAGAACATCCGGAGTCTTTCGGCTGGCAAGTTCTCTGCGTGTCTACGATGTGCCTTGAAAGCTGGAAGCTTCAGGTTTCCTGGAGTTAACGTCCTCAACGACTCCGACGCTTGTCTTCCTTGCAAGTCTCTCCCCACGTCGAGTCGTGTCTCGCACCCCGGCAGCGGGTCTGCTTGTCAAGGACCCAACCGGCCGCTTGAGCCTTGATTGCACGCTGGAGTCGAGAGAAAGGCACAGAGATGTCCTGAGATCCGTGGCGACCCCCGGCTACCGCCTCGTCTCCGTGAATCTAAGGGAGCTGCTGGCCTACGTGCCCTTCCGTCTGAACACGGCGGTGCTCTGGCGCGCCTTGGAAAGCAATTCTTGAACTGCCATGCCTTGGCCTAGGCAGACTGCGGACTGGGGGTGCCTTGAAGCTGAAGCCCCTCTCTGTGCTCTGGGAGGCTCCGACGTTCTGCACAGCCCGGCCTTGGACACCAGCAGCCACGCGCGACTCAGCAGCGATCCGGCGACATCTCGGACGCTCCTGCAGGCTGGCGGCTGGCACGGCCGTGTATACAGCCACGGGTGGTAGGATTGATTCTACACCGCCTGAGCTCGAACGAAAACGTGCTGCAGGCTTTCTTGGGCACGCACCCTCTGCGCCAGCGACCCCTTGAGGGGCCCGATCTTTCGGGGAGACCTGGCCGAATCCCAACAGTTTCTGTACATTCTAGGGCTTGGAGCTCACTCAGGGTCCCGCTTCGAGAGTCCTTCTGCTCCTAGTCACCAAGTCAATCAGACGGCCGATCGGACTGGCTTCTAAACGCATTAAGTCAGGGATTGTTTGCCACGCCGACTACGTCAAGCTCAGGCTCCACAGTGGCAGCGCGCGACCTCGGCCGGAGCCCCCGGAGCCACCTTATCCAGTGCCACGGCGGCCGGCACATGAGGCTGCTCTTGGGCACGGGAGCGAACGGCAGGGGTCGGGTGGGTGGTTTGTCAAAATTGGGAATGAATCGCGAGTGTCCGGCCAAGGGTCGTGCTCCGGAGGTACCATCAGGCTGTTTATGTCGACTCTCTTTCGACGTTTCGTCAGAGCTTTCAACTCGGTTTGGCGACTAGTCACGGGGCTGTTGACAAACCACGAGACCTCCACAATCCTGCAATCCCGTTCATAAAGCAGAGAAGCGAGACGGGAAGGGGTAAGCACACGAGTGAGGAGGCTCATGCCTAGATTTTGGCTCGCGCCTGCAAAGGCAGCTGCTCTGGCCGTGCAGAGCCACCAATCTTCCGGCAAGCTGCTGGCGCTTCTGGTGCCGCGGTGAGGAAACTGTTTCAGGTACAGGCCCCTGCATCGTCCTGAGCCTTGTCCGCTCAGGCTGGTCTCCTGGGAGTCTGCATCTTTCTCTGCTTGGGAAGCCTGAGACTGGTCATGGCTTAGACCCGGACGCGCGCGCGCAAAATTCAAAAGGGTCTCTGCTTGGGTGTGTCGGCTGGGTCTCACAGCATACGGAGGAATCCTTGGAGGCTCTTGCAGGCTTAACAACTTAACAGGCTGGCGGAGTGGAATGCGAGTGAGAACTGTGTTGCAGGAGCAAGCCGTGGCCGAGCTGCGGCAAAGCGTGGTCTCAGTTCGACGGTGCCTGAGAGCAACCTAGATCTTGGATCAGCAGAACACTCCGCCCCCGACGGCTCCCGCCCCTCACCACTCCACTGCGCAGACACTTCAGCCGACGTTCTGCAGAGATGCAGAGACCAAGGCGACGAGTGCAGCCGTCTGCGCTCAGAATGCCGGCGGCTCTCCAGCGAGGTCCGAGGGGCGAAGAGGGCTCCGCTTGCAAGATCTTTGCACGGGGGTTCCATCAGTGCCGCGTCCAGGTGGTTGCTCGGGACAGCGAGGTGTTAGCGCGCGTGGCTGGGAACCTCAGCAAAGTCCCGACAGTTCTTCCTTACACGTTGAAAGAGGTCCCGAAAGCACTAGTCACTAGTCCATTGGCACGGGAGCTGCAGTCCTGCCCAGTTGCGACAGCTCAACGACATGCGCAGCCTTCTGGATCAGGGTGCCTTGGAGGAGGCTCCTTTAGACTGGACAGCACAACGATTCCATTATATTCCATTGAATGGTGTTGCAATCTGCGAGCGCCACCATGTTGGCAGGTGGCGGCTCTGCCCGAGCGTGCTCGGGAAGCCGCCAGTGCTGTCCTCAGAGCACGCATAGATGCAATGGCAAGGCCGTGGCTAATTGGCGGGCTGTCCGTCCAAACAATAGGATGGCCGTGGAGGAAGAATTCACGCCCTTTTCGATGCCTTCGACCTCCATAAGAGTCATGCAGTGTTCAGGAAGTAAAGGCCCCCGAACTTCTGGGGAGGCAGCAAAACCCAAAACCTCAATCCGGAGCACTTCCGGCACAATGCGAAGTGAAGGCAGAGCCGCGGGAAAGGCAGCTGGCCGAGGACATCGAATCGTTTGCCGTGGAACCCTGACGCTAAGCCCACAAACAATAGCATCATAGGTTCATTGTCCATGAACATGTGAACGCTGAACATACGCCGGATGACAATTCTTCCACTCGCCCAACTGCTTCATTCTGTCTGCATCTACGCCTGCCTTTGCCATGTTGCTGCTGTTGGTGCAGTGGTGCTGTTCGTGCTGCTGTTGCTGCTCTGCTGCGGTTGCGGCGGCGGTCGCTGCTGCTGCTTCTGGTGCTGTTGCTGTTGCTGTCGTCGTCAGTGTCAGCGGTTGCTTGCAAGCGGGTCTCAGTGTGTGGGAGAGAGGGGCTGTCCTGTCTTTTCCCATGTCGCACATCGAAGCATATGCGGAGACATGCCGTCCTCGATGCTTGCGATGCAGGAGAGGCCGCTGCCGGACGAGGAGCCGGCCGAAGCGGTCGCCACGGCCTTTGATTTTGGACGGGCGGTGGTATCGGACACCGGTCACAGGGGTTGCTTGCGCATGCTTGTCTCTTTGATCTTGAAGCAGACGTGTCTTCCAACATCTTCAAATCGCTGATGATCTGACTCCTCATGAACTTGAACCGGACAGTGGAGAAATGGCCGACTCCAAGGGCAGAAGTCCTCAAAACCCAAACTGCAGGGCCTGAGTCTCCAGTCCACATGCCCTGAACCTGTGCAGAATTCGCTGCGAGCCACTGGGGTAGCTTATTCATTCACCCGAACCCCTAAACTACTACTACTACTACTACTACTACTACTACTACTACTACTACTACTACTACTACCACCCTAACCACACTCCCAGCTTCCCAGACTCTAGAGCTCCAGCTGGCGCCAAGCTGAGGTGTGAGCCCGGTCCGGGAGCGAACCCAGGACTGCAGTGCAACGGTTCCCTTTGAAGGGATCCCTTTTCCAGATCTTTTAAATGGAACCCTCAAAGGCTTCCTTTAAGGGATCCTGTAGAAGGAGGTGTAGAACGATAATCTAGCGTAGATTGATCAGACAAAAGGTATTGGTTACGTGGGGTAAGGTCAAGTAAGGCAGGGCAATATAATCTAGAGGCGGCCCATCAAAAGACAGAATCTGCTTAAGTAGGCCATAATTCTGAAACTTGCTGTTTGTTGGGTGGTGGCCAACCGCGCGGAGAGGTTCGAGGTTCCGACTTCTCGGTTTGAAGGAGGGTCGTCACGGTCGAGCCAGTGGCACATCGAAGTTCTAGCTGCGCTTTAGCGTTTGCTACAGCTTGTTCGGGTCCATGATTTAGAAATTGTGCAATTATTGAAATCACATGGTCTGCTGATGATGTGATGGGCCTTTCAGCGTGCTTCCTTCAGCGAGCAAGGCTGGCAGCGCCGCGTCGCGGAGGAATGGGTTTGGATCCCAAGCGTGTTGACTTTCTTCGTCTTTGTGGGGCTTAGAAAGTTCAAAGCTGAGGGATACAAGGCCTGCAGGCGACCTTTCGGTCCGGCCTGGAAGGCCGAACTTCTTGAAGAAACCACTACTGCGGTTCTCGTAGTAGTGGCATTGTACTGGTATCGTTGTTCTGCACATTAAGCTACGCATGCACTGCTACGTTGCTGCGCATGCTGTTCGAAGGCTGTCTTTTTTGAGATATTCCCGCGAGGTCTGCTTCAGCTCGGCAGCTCACAAGAGGTGGGCTGGCACGGACGCTTGGTGCTCACAAGTCTGAAGCCACCTGCAGGTCCACGGAGCTTAGCAAGTTGCAGGTAATCCGAAGACGCATGCAGTAGTGAATCAGGCTGAACGAGGATCGCTTGAATGACTGAATGATTGAGTGAATGCATGCATGCATTGATGGTTGAATGGACGGCTGGCTGAAGGAACCAACGACTGAATCACTGAATCAGCAGCTTCGTGGCACTCTAAACACCCACCCCGAGAAGATCTACCACAGAGATATCTCCGAATGCACAGAAGCAACAAATCGCGAACCCTCAATGGAGCCCCGCAGACGGAACACCACTAAACCATAAAGCGTTGTATGAAGCAGGACCTTTTCAGAAGCCCTGTCTTGAAGCAATCGCCCCAGAAAAAGGAGACCGAGACTCCAAGAGTATCTGGTGCCAGGCCAAAGCCCAAAGCGGCAGGCCTCGGAATCAAAAGCCCGGAGCTTACCATTCCTTAGGCACTACTCGTGTTTCATAGTATTTTGATTTGACGGTAATGTCCGCATTGTCAGGATTCGTGTCGTTATTGTGTTCACTGTTCTGCTAGTAGTAGCGATTGTTACAGTAGCTTCATCGGTGATTTCAACATTCGTACTACTCACTCCCTCCGTGTTCCTGGGTGTGAGGCCTGCCGTGCTTCACCGGTGAAATGTCGCGAAGCTCCGGCTTCTCCCAATCCAGCATCGCGTTTCAGAAAACTCGTGGGGAGTCGTTAAAGTAAAAAAAGAAGAGAAGAGCGCATCGCCAAACGTAGTATCGGGAGTGGTTTTAGCGGCGGCGGCCGGGGTGGTGGCGGTCGTGAACATGATAGCTGCAGCGGTATCGATCATACAAGATCATGCAGGAGCAAACTGTCAAGCCGTCGTCCGGAGCCTCTCGACAAGCACCTTCGCGACAGAAGCGGGAAGCTTTTCTTTGAGTGCCCAGGCCGGCGGCTCGCCAGGCCAATAGACTTCCAGTTGACAGACCTGCGAAGTTTGCATGTCAATGTGCTGTACGAGTAGTAATTGTAGCGTAGAAAGCAGAGTGTCACAGTCGATTGATTCCGTGGAGGGTTTGAGCCTTGAAGGCTTAGAGGCAGCCAGCGCAGAGGCCTGAAACTGTCGGCCTGCTCTTGCCATTCCTGGATGGATCCAAGAAGTCTGAGTCTGACTCCGATTTGCTGGTACTCTGCTTCTGCTTCTGAGCGTTCGTTCTTGAATGCTGCGACTGTCTTCGCACTCCGGATTGCATCGCAGGCGCCTGCGGAGGTGCACAGCGGGCGTTCCTCTCTGTGTCTGTCTTTGCACAGATCTTCCGAAGCCCTTTGACTGGCTCTGCCAGCTGCTAGCCCAAGTGTTCGTGCTGGCGCTGCTTAACTGCAGGAGAGTGGTAGAAGAGATCCTGATGTGCAAGGGTTGCAGTCAAGCTGAGCATCATGTGTTGCGATGCAGCCTTTTGGGCTGATAGTCGACATGGCTCAATGCGTCCATGCCAGCGTAGTACACGGCAGCAACAATTTCGCTTGGGAATGCCACGTCGAGGTCGAGAAAGCTCCATGCAGGAGCTTCATGTCACAACATGCTGACTCCTCTGCTCTACCCCAGCTTAGGAATTTGAATCCATAGCCCCTAGACCTCACTATAGAGGGCTGAAGACATCACGTGGCAAAGCATCTCCAGTAATCGTTGTGGTTGCCATGGCGGCAGACTTGGCAGCGGACCAAGTGGCAGGGGAATGCAGAGGGTACGGAGTGAAAGCCCAGAGTGCAAATCTTTAACAGCCAACTGTCGAAAATGTCGAGGACAGCACAATGGCCGCCAATTCCGCCCTTCGGGATGAGAACGAGGCCTACAGGGGACATCAGTATTTGCCATGCCGAAGCACAAGCGTAGAGAGTACATCTTACCAATTGGTGAGACACCATGACATTCATAAGTGTTGTCTGTTCTACATGACGTGTTGGTTTGGCAGTTGTGGCAATTCGCCTGCTTGTACGGTTTTCGTTTTTGGCATCAAAAGTCACTCAACTGAGGTGCCTCTAACTTGCTCTGGTAGACGTTTGCTTCAAGCTAAAGGATGCGGGCTGTCCAATGTATGGGTTTCCATTTCAGGATTTCATGATCCTTAGGGCGCCCTGTCCTTCAGCTGGCGCCCATGTTGCCAGGCCCTGGCAAGCCTCATGGAAGAGGCTCGGCCGGGAGGCCTCACACAAAAAGCTGCTTTCAGTTTGAGATGTGCTCAATAGGTTCACAGCCTGGCGGAGCAGTGGCAAGAAGTTTGCGCTCGTGCGCTGGGCCCCTGGCTTGTGGTTTGCCGGCATTGGATGCTCTCTTTGGGAGCCTGGTGAGGAAATCTCATGGCAAGGAGACCGTAGCGGCGGAGCTGCAGGAGCTAAGCTTGTTTTGGGCAGCTGCCTTTGGTATCATCTTTTGCCTTGCAAGCCCCCAAACTAACCCACAAAGCAGAGCGGACAGAGACGCAACATCAAAGGGACCCCACTCTCAAGAGGGTTGAACTCACCTCGCTGACTCTTTCCATGGACGGCCCTTTGGACCTTTTCACCCGGCCTAGCAGGCTACTCGACTGCTTTCAGCCAGACGTGCTCGGGAGAGTCGGGTGCCTCGCCCTTCACTGGGGCCATTCACACACAGCAAAAAGGCAGCCGCCGAAGTTGTGAAAGCAGCACTTTTGCAAGAAGACAGCAAGGTGTGCATCACACGCAGTACGTAGATTGCGTCGCAGTGATGCCAGCTGACCACTGGCCGTATATCGCTGGTATGACTGCTTCGAGCACATTTTCATGTCGCGAAGTTCCCGTTTAGACGATCACCAGGTCAACATTGCACTGAATTTGTTCCAAGTCTTGCTGTTGGTTCCATTCGCAGGAGCTCCGGGGGCAGCGCGAGATTTTGCAGAAGCGCCTAAAGGCATTGGAGCAGGGCGTCGGGTGACTCGGCCAATATATGACAGCTTCAGAAAGTGTGCGACCCGAGAATAGACCCCAAGGGTTTAGGGTTTAGGGCCTAAGGATTGCTCTCCCCCTAATAGCAATGGAAGTGTCCACATATACTCTTGTACAAGGTTGTCCTGGTGAACAGGTCAAGACCAAGCCTCGGGCTTCGGTTCAGATGATAGACGCAAAGATGTAGCACTATTTTGGGGGTTGCTTTCCGCAGTCAGCAGGCCAAATGCGGGCACCTTTGTCGCATAAACCAACACCTCAAACTGAAAGCCGACTCAGGGTCAAGCACATGTCCCTTCCAGGCCCGCCCCGGAGAAACCCATCGACGATGCCAAGCAGCCTCAGCAGACGGCCGAGCACTCAGACTCAGGGTCCAAGTTGGCATCATCATTAACGACGCATGGGGGCAGTGTTCTCAGTGTTGTAGTTGCTACTGTCGAGGTTGGCCTTCTGATTGTTGCTGTTGTCCTTAGTGACTCTTCGTGTTGTCGCTCGTGCTGCCGCTGCCATGGTTCTTGTTGTCGTCTTTGCAACTCGCCTGCAGGCACGAGCGGCTTGCTAGACTCTATTCGGGATCACTCCCGAAATTCGGACGGCAAATGCCATCCTAAATGCGCTTGCGCTTATGAGAAGAAGCATGAAGTTATTCCACTGGCGACGTGCCATGACACCAACAAGCCACGAGAGTGTTGTCCAAACTTTGCTTTAGCAACGCCATGTTGTGGACCCAAGAGTGGAGAACAGATGCTGCAAGGACACTCGGCCACTCACCAGGCAGGAGAAGTCACAGAGAACATTTGTTTGTCGCAGTCGCAGTCGTGCGCACGTCTTATGCAGAACCAGAAGCTGGCTGAGAGAGTTCAGAGCTCAGAAACAGCGCACTCCTTTGGACCCTAGCATCTGTTGTTGATGGGGGTTTGGGGGTGCGAGTCCTTGTGGCACGGCTGAACTTCCATAAGGCGCGGCAAGCTGAGCTGGAGACTGCTAAGGAGGAGCATCGGAAGCTTCACGTCGTGTGGACAGCTGGTTCGGGCTAGCTCCACTATATAAGTCATCAATTCTATTCCACTTGGTGCAGGGACAAAGAAGGCAGAAGCTGCAAGGGTTGAGCACGTCGTAAGATCACTGGCGGACTGTTTTGGTGGTGCTTCTTTGCCTGCCGGAGATACGTTTGCAGTCTTTGCAGTTGCCAGCGTGTTCCATCGGAGTCAGGAGTCGGAGGTCCTTCGATCACAAAATCGGGAGCTGAAAGAGGCCGTGCGTGTGACGGGTTGGCGCTGGTGGTGCAAGAACCATTCAGCTTGCACTCGCGGAAAATAGTCTCCGGAATGAGTTAGTCTGAATCATGATGCAGGCAATTGCCCAGGCTCGGTCAGCGATTCGTCGGAGGTTGGCCGGGTCCTGAGCCCACGCTGGGGTTTCGCGGTGTTCGCGTTGTGCGGGTTCTTTTGCTTGGGGTAGGGTTTTGGATGTAGGGTTCGTGGTTGCGGGGTGTTGGTTTCGGGTGCAGGGTTTTTAGATTTGAGGTGCTGGGGTCTAGGCGTCTAGGGTCCTGTGCAAGTTAAGCTGAAGTGTTCCTAAGCACCCAAGCTTGATTCAAGAGGTGGTGTCGTTAACGCTTCGGATTGGTTGCTAAGGGGCGAGAGTCGCAACATTTCACTCGTAGACCAAGGCCCCGTCTTAGAAAGCCAGAGCCCTTAAAAGCCCTTGAACAACAGTGCTACTGGTGATGGCGATTGCTATGAGTGCCTACGAAGAGGCGGAAGGAGCAAGAGCGGAAATGGACGAATTCCCAAACCTTCGGTTGCACAAACTCGAGGTCCCGCCTTAAGCTTTCTCGAATCATTGCAAACCTAAGAAGCGCGGGAGATCGCGAGCTTTCAGCAAATGCCTCAGGATCGGCACTCCGCTGAAAACACGGCGCTTGTCATAGACAACGAGGCAGCTGCCGAACACTGGGGTGTCCTTCAATGTTCAGGGATCCATGAGCCGGGAAGACAGAGGAAGGCGAAACTCCGAAGTGCTCGTATTCGGAGTGGCTACTAGCTGGTACTGGTGGCTAGACAGACAGACGCATGCGGTGTTTCTTTCACATGGTCCTTTGTCACTTGTGGCTGCCTCTTCGCTTGACTGAGCTTTTGCTCCTTACTCAAGCGAGGCAGATAACCTGTCCCAGAGTTGCTGTATGTACCAAAGTTACTGCGCAGCAACCGGCCGCAGGCTTGTGAGTATGGGCACAGAGCTCTGCTCTGCACAAAGGTTGGTGTATCACTTCTGTCGTCTGGAAATCAGGCATGAAAAGTTGATCCACTTCAGGCAGCTGTTGACGGTGTGGTGTTCCAGGTCGACGTCTCTATATGCTTCTCAGGCACTGAAAGTTGAGTTTATCAAAAGTACCGAAAGCTTCCTAACTCTTCGAACACAAGCTCTCCTAACGCTGTGGTATTGTGCTTGCTACTAGTATCTTTTTTGATGTTGCGAGTGGTAGAATGGCTCCTACCACTACATTCATCATTAGTCAGTAGTCGAAGGCTTGTTTTCCATTGTTTGTAACAGCAGTAAGACGGACTCTGCCGAAGACTCTTTTGCATGGCACAGGACCTTAGCGGGCTAGTGGAGGAGGCTCGATGCGTGGATATGCAGGGGGGGGACGTTTCAATTAGGATTCTGGTATTGAGAGCCTTGGTAGCAGTTCCTTCTCTGTGGCCCCGATGTGCGGGTTGGTTATCTTGTTTTGGGGAGGACGTACTTCGAGTACTGTTTGTCGGGGCGATTCCCAACATGAACTTCCAGGTTCCAGGTGGTTCAGGGCACCAAGCTCACCGGAAAACTGCTTCTCAATGTCAGGCTTCATGGTTTTGCAGGTGTTCGGAGCGCTCGATGTAGCTATGTCCTCTCGGTACATCAGGGTGGGAGGAGAGCGACGGTTGCAGTGAGACCGGCATGTCGGAACAAGCGAGCTTGTGACTGCAGGGCTGCAAGATCTAATGTGGTCGTCACGAACTGCATGGTGTTCATTATAGTGCGCGTCAACATCATCGGCATTGACTTGAAGGATGTTATACGGTATCGAGGCCTCGAGCTGGACTGTGCAGGTTCAGAATCTCGCCGGTCGCTGGCAAAAAGCCTGGGCTCGCGCAGCAGAGCACCGGTCTCGGCTTCCAGTTCCACATGCCTGATGTGAGCCATCGCGGATCTGTGCCCTCATCTTACGTGTGGCATGAGAGACCTATCCGAGTAAAGCTGTCGAACTACTGTTCTCACATTACAGGGAACTCATCGCAGCACTGGCACCGGCAAGAGACTCTGCAGCTCAGGACTGAAGGCGAGCGCAGACCGAGCATCGATGCCGAGATTGAGGCACAGCTTGTGGCCGCTCGCGGGTTTGTCGTCAGTCTGGACGAAGACTGAGAGTACTAAGGGGGAATTCGTGAAGGATAATTGCTGTTACTAGGACTTCTACATACTACGCCAAGATGATAGGGCACTATTAATACTAGGTTTGGCTCCACACTCCGGTGCCAGGAGCTACGCTCCATCCGCAACCATGTGCGCGACCGGCTGCTGCTACTGGACCCGAGGCCAGCAGCCGATGATCGTGTCTGGGGTTGAAGGTTCAGGGAGGGAGCTTTCGGCTGGTGAGGAAGATGATGATCCTGAGAGCATGTTCATTATTGTTCCAAGCTCCACTGGAATTATAAGAGAAATGCAGAAATGATTTGTGCGCGAGCTTAGCAGTTCAAACTCTTGAGTGTGGAATGTTCTTGCTCGCAGTCTTACCTTGCGCGAGTTCAGCACCTTTTGGATGTTAGACTTCCTGACGTGTTTGCAGCGGAGGATCTGCACCTCCTCATTAGCAGAACTAGCCGGGCGGATGCCGAGACCAGACGGGTAAGACTGCCGAAGCCACGCACGACTGAACTGATATCTGATGCTGTCTCTAATGATTCTAATGCGCATGGTACGAGTAAGGATCCTGAACGGGTTCGAAGAACCCCAGCCATAACGATCCACCTCAAAACAGCAAAACCATCAGTCCTGGCCGGATGATGCCTGGCTGTGCCCAGTCCTCGGCAGCGAAAGGAGTGGGCTAGGGTGGTGCTGTGGGAGATTGTGGGAGGTGATATCGGTACAGTTCGGTACTCTTCCATCGGAGTGGGCTTCGGAAGTTGAAAGACTCTTGCATGCTCAGGCATGCTCCCCTGCCTAGATGTTCAAACCAAAACGAGGCATTTCCAGGTCTTGGACAGTCGAAAAGCGAGCTTTAAATCACACGTTGCCGATGCGATTTCTTCGCCATGGTCTTCATGATTTACCTTGTTCGTGTCCTGGATTTGGCATTCTGCCGTTTATAGGTCTGCTCAGAGCATCGATGTACTTGGGTCTATCTCATCAGGTTAAATTCCAACCACAGTGCTCTGCAGACACTTGAAGAATCCCAGAACAGTTGGGTCATTGCAGATTTGCAATTATTGTTGAAATGAAGAGATAGTGTGCCGGCATGAAATGCGACTCAGCGCATAAGAATATTGAATATGATTGGTGCCTCGAT